CGAACGAAACGTAAGAGAGCCGAAGACTCGTTTTACTGTTAATGAGGAATTTTATCTTAGTTCTCAGGGTTTGTTACGCAATAACATTTTGATTCTGAATCGACGAAGAAGGTTTCGGACACAGCATCCACTTCTCAGGAGACTGTGTGCTCGTTAGACATCTCCTATAAAAACGTTCAGAAAACGTTTATTATAATTATGGTTTATCTGTTGTTTTAACTGCTACTCCCTCCCCTTACACTAATTTTTTTTCGTTTATCGTGAAGGCAGTTTACATACATAAATTGCACACATGCGTTCACGGGCAATAATCTTCATAGACAAAATATTGGACATAGGAAACGTCATATGATATATGATATATATCAAAATGCGGATGTTAGCTGACATATATCAAAATGATATATGACAGCTAACATCCCCCCTCGCCGCTCAACATCCTTTCTAGGCTCGATTGCAAGCATAGATATTGCAAGCCGTCACAGCCATATTGTTTGTTTTCATTTTGTTTTGTCACTGATTCATTCATTGTAATAATTGCATAAGTGATATTACTGATTTATGGATCACAGAACACTAATACCCTTAGGCGGGAAGAATGTCAACTTCAAACAAAGAAAATGGCACCCATAATGCACGCCATCTCTGTCGTGCCCCCTAAAACTTTTTGCGCGGGAATTTTGACACGTGATTTTTTTTAGTTGTCTTGGTTGTTTCGTTTCAAAAATGGCTTAAGAATGTAAAATACCATATAGATAGATATAGCTTGTAGTTTTTCGTTTCAATGATATATATTGCTAAATTAAAACGAAAACAAAAGCACAAAGTTATTTGTAAATTATGGTACTTTACATTCATAAACCACTTTTGAAACGATTAGCAATCATTTTAATATAAAAAAGGAACTATTTTTCAAATAAAAGTGGTTTTTGAAATACATAATTTTTATTTACATTACATACTTGTCTACATTGGTACATAGAAAAACCGTTGGTACATTGATGGACGTAAGTGACGGAGTAATTAACTAATTTTTAACATGGCATATGTAACATGACATTTAAGCAAAATGGAAAGTAAAGGTACATTGGTTTTATATAAAAAAGATTAGACAATCTAATATAAACACTTTTTTCTAACAAGAAAACATTATTTACCTTCACATTCTACAAACAAGGCAATAGCTTTGCAATATTATGTCTAAACTCCAATAACCTGATTATATTATAGATGCCACCAATAATATTACATTTGTAGAAATTATTTTCGTTATGTTATTGTTATTGACTGCATTAAAAACTAATAAGTCAACATTTTCATGTCATTAATCAGCACTACCTGCTGCAAATCCATCCACGAAAAACAAAAAGGATAAAGATATGTTGATAAAAATGAAATATCATCTGAGAAAAATTAACAGGCTTCAAAAAACTGTAAAGCATCTAAAGAATGAAGAATTTCTCAAAGTATTGAGCAAAAATAACTCCGTAAATGAAATATTAAAATGTAAAATATCCCCCTCTTTTGCAAACTGCTCTTCAAAGAAAAACTGATATCCTGCAGAATAAATAAGATGTTACATGGATATATACGTAATTAACTAATTTTTAACTTTATGCATGTAAACAGTTCTGAACAGCTCTTAACTAAATATCGATTTAATAGTTAAGTAGTTATTATTATTTTTCGATAATACAGGTAGATGTCTAAGTGTCACAGCATTTACTTGCTAAATTCTATAAAAAATACAAATGTATGTGTTATCCATATCCCACAGTAAACTTAAAAGTTAGTTGCATAGCAATACGATTGTTTGTAGGGTGACTAATAAACTATCCGACATTAAACGATAAAAAGACTGTAAGGTATGATTCGCACCAGTAAAGTGATAGTTTCGAAAATACTATATTCGAAATCCAAAAGTGGCTCTATATGGCAAATATTTTTAAAAAAAACTTAAATTTAAATCCTACCTGCCTCGCGGAAGCAAGGAATATCTGACCCACTCCGACTAAAACTCAGATGTTTCATCTTCACCACTTATCGGCAGGACTACGGGTACACTTTTACACACATCCATAGCCTCATCAGCGCTAGTCACTCCTTGGCAGCCTCTCTCGAGAGAGGACAAATCCTCCCTCTACTTTTATCTCTTTATATAATGTCACCACTGAAGTGATTATGACTGTACATATAGAAAAAGTAGTTCCATGTAATATCTTATTTATTCTGCAGGATATCATGTATGCAGAGTACTCTTCTGCAAATTGCCGATTTTTCAAAATACAAAATCTCTTCATACAAATGTGAAATACGCTATTAAATAAGTAATCTATATTCATATCTTTATGTTCTGGACATTCATCGAGAAACTCCCAATTTATTGAGTTTTTGAACAAAACTTTAATTGTCCCTTTTAATTTTTTTTATATGCTTCTGCCTCTAAAAAATCATAAATCATCGTAGCACTACTTTCAATACAGTTAATGAGGTTTTTAGAGGCGTATTTAAGGGACTTTTTTAGATCACTATATTCTTTAAAGTCAATAAAAGTATGTGATCTCTCTTGTGTCTCAGATACAAAAATTTTTTTACAAATTTCACATTTGTTGAGATTATTTTTTACTATAAACCCACAGACATAGGCACATGCTTGTATTTCGCCACTGCTTTCTTCCAAGCTACATTCAAATGTAGAATTTACACTTTCTTCTAACTCATCGGTTAAAATTGTGGCATAAGCAGTGTGTGTGTCTGTGGGTGGAGACAATAAAGATTTAAAATTTGTCAATATAACTTGATTTTGGTCTTCTTCACAATTTCCTGTCCCAATAAAAGATAAGTTGCTAAGGACAGCCGTTTTAAGACCCGCAACAAACTGCCCAGCAGTGGGATTTGAATTGCAGCCGCAATTGACCCGAATGCATCCAAAAAGATTTTCTAACGGGTCCTGCTGGAGCCTTCTTGTTTCCAAACTTTTTATTGATTTATGTTTAGAACTGAGATTTCTCCAAATTCGTTCTATTCCATTGATGGACCATATCCAACCTTCTTGGGATGGAGGAGCTCGTTTGCATCCCAAAAACGTCATTTCTTTAAAAAAATTCTTCATTAAAGTGAAATGTGTGAGATGTGGTGTATTATTTGTCATGTTTGTCGAATATGGTCTCCCCCTTCTTAGGTCTGGTGAGCATGCGTTGACACAATCAAACAGCTTGTCCATATTTGCAATAACATTAGCTGTAGTGACAGCCTCTGAAGAGAGTTCCCCTGTAAACAACACATAATTTAAGATCTTACTATTAGGATTAAAGAAACATGATTTAAAGTATGTTACAAGACAACTCAAAAATAATATCACATATCAGTATCACACAATAAACAATAATTTGTACTTGGGAGAGCCTAGTTCCTTTTTAAGTTAATAATTATTTTAATGGGTGGACATATGTTTAAATATTATACTTTAAATTATAAATTTAATTTACCTTGTGAAATTTTAGCATACATTCCTGCAGCAACTGAGTGGCTTAACACTTGTGCAGCTAGCTTCACCTTCATCTTCTGCTTCGTATTTGGATTTAAATGTTCTTGTTTTAAGCAAGGTGCAAACACAAAATTGGGATTGGTGTTAACTGTTTCATAAAACTCCTTTATATGGCTCCATTTAGCAACACCTGTAAAAAAAATTTGTGTAAATATCCAGTAAATTGGAAATATGTATAATATTATGATTATAATAAAACAAAATATCTTACCAAATCCAATTTGATCATTTGATGTTATATTTATTGGATATTTAATGTCATATTTTAAAAACATATTTCTAAAGCATTTGAGCAAATGCAGAGTATCAAAAATGGTAACCACTTCTCGATTATTTAGCAGAATATATGGCTGTTCTACAGATGCTCCCAAGATACTTATAGGTCTCTTATTCACACCATCCATATCACACACTGTAGCTGAAATATTAATTCCAGCATCAAAACAATGTTGCAGGACCTAGAATGATAAAAGGGTAAATTAATATGGTAAAAAAGTACTACTACATATATTGACATAATAACAAATAAAAGACCATAATGCTCACCTCCTTAGAATAATAATAAGCAATTGGTTGTTTCAGCTTTTTACGGATTCCGCCAATCATGAACACGAGAGCATGTGTTGCCATTTGTGGTGACCTGCCCTGCAGTGCATGGTCTTGATAACCCTCAATTATGTCCTCCTTTTTGTTGTTTTTTTTTTATAAGATAAGGGTGACAAACGAGCACACAGTCCACCTGATGGTAAGTGGTTGCTGCGGCCCATAGACATCTACATCTATCCTCGCTTGCGAATCAAAATGCAGATGCGTTGTCACCCGTGAGGACTAAGATGGAATGCCTCATTTCCAGTAAAAAGGGCCTCCGGCCACCTGCACTCACCAAGCGAAACGCAGAGGTAAACCTCTACTTCACGCTGGTATTCTGTGAGGTCGTGGTACCACCCCGGATCGAGCCGGCCCATCCGTGCGACAGCGAAAGCTGCGCGTGGCTCTACCACTGTTAAACAAATACTTTTTTATTGACATCTCATCAAACATAAGGATATACTCATTGTCTGAGGGAGTCTGTTGCTTTATTGTTTTTTTCAAAACATTAAAAATTTGGTCATTAATACCAACTTTCATGTGAAACTTGCTTAATAACGCTTTTAATGAACTAGGTGTTGGCAGGCAAATCATCCTTCTTAATAATTTGTAACACCTAGGTGACCTTTTATACAGTCTTAGTGCTATTATTTTGGAGTCCATGTTCCATCTTCGACCTTATGATTTTTTTTTATAGTTTTGCCATTCTTCTTGCAAAAATAATGCAAAAGAGGGGGATATTTTACATTTTAATATTTTATTTACGGAATCATTTTTGCTCAATACTTTGAGAAATGCTTCATTCTTTAGATGCTTTACAGTTTTTTGAAGCCTGTTAATTTTTCTCAGATGATATTTCATTTTTATCAACATATCTTTATCCTTTTTGTTTTTCGTGGATGGATTTGCAGCAGCAACAGGGTTGATATTCTCAGTTACTTGAGGAATATCACTAGTTATGTCAGGAATGGTTTTATAATTTACATTCTCACACAAGGGTTGTATAAATTTTGAGGGACCTGCAACAGGCTCAAATACATTTGAAACAGTTATAGTCTTAAACAAGTAAAAGTTATAGTCTTAAACAAGTCTTGAACAAATAAAAGACCATAATGCTCACCTCCTTAGAATAATAATAAGCAATTGGTTGTTTCAGCTTTTTACGGATTCCGCCAATCATGAACACGAGAGCATGTGTTGCCATTTGTGGTGACCTGCCCTGCAGTGCATGGTCTTGATAACCCTCAATTATGTCCTCCTTTTTGTTGTTTTTTTTTTATAAGATAAGGGTGACAAACGAGCACACAGTCCACCTGATGGTAAGTGGTTGCTGCGGCCCATAGACATCTACATCTATCCTCGCTTGCGAATCAAAATGCAGATGCGTTGTCACCCGTGAGGACTAAGATGGAATGCCTCATTTCCAGTAAAAAGGGCCTCCGGCCACCTGCACTCACCAAGCGAAACGCAGAGGTAAACCTCTACTTCACGCTGGTATTCTGTGAGGTCGTGGTACCACCCCGGATCGAGCCGGCCCATCCGTGCGACAGCGAAAGCTGCGCGTGGCTCTACCACTGTTAAACAAATACTTTTTTATTGACATCTCATCAAACATAAGGATATACTCATTGTCTGAGGGAGTCTGTTGCTTTATTGTTTTTTTCAAAACATTAAAAATTTGGTCATTAATACCAACTTTCATGTGAAACTTGCTTAATAACGCTTTTAATGAACTAGGTGTTGGCAGGCAAATCATCCTTCTTAATAATTTGTAACACCTAGGTGACCTTTTATACAGTCTTAGTGCTATTATTTTGGAGTCCATGTTCCATCTTCGACCTTATGATTTTTTTTTATAGTTTTGCCATTCTTCTTGCAAAAATAATGCAAAAGAGGGGGATATTTTACATTTTAATATTTTATTTACGGAATCATTTTTGCTCAATACTTTGAGAAATGCTTCATTCTTTAGATGCTTTACAGTTTTTTGAAGCCTGTTAATTTTTCTCAGATGATATTTCATTTTTATCAACATATCTTTATCCTTTTTGTTTTTCGTGGATGGATTTGCAGCAGCAACAGGGTTGATATTCTCAGTTACTTGAGGAATATCACTAGTTATGTCAGGAATGGTTTTATAATTTACATTCTCACACAAGGGTTGTATAAATTTTGAGGGACCTGCAACAGGCTCAAATACATTTGAAACAGTTATAGTCTTAAACAAGTAAAAGTTATAGTCTTAAACAAGTCTTGAACAAATAAAAGACCATAATGCTCACCTCCTTAGAATAATAATAAGCAATTGGTTGTTTCAGCTTTTTACGGATTCCGCCAATCATGAACACGAGAGCATGTGTTGCCATTTGTGGTGACCTGCCCTGCAGTGCATGGTCTTGATAACCCTCAATTATGTCCTCCTTTTTGTTGTTTTTTTTTTATAAGATAAGGGTGACAAACGAGCACACAGTCCACCTGATGGTAAGTGGTTGCTGCGGCCCATAGACATCTACATCTATCCTCGCTTGCGAATCAAAATGCAGATGCGTTGTCACCCGTGAGGACTAAGATGGAATGCCTCATTTCCAGTAAAAAGGGCCTCCGGCCACCTGCACTCACCAAGCGAAACGCAGAGGTAAACCTCTACTTCACGCTGGTATTCTGTGAGGTCGTGGTACCACCCCGGATCGAGCCGGCCCATCCGTGCGACAGCGAAAGCTGCGCGTGGCTCTACCACTGTTAAACAAATACTTTTTTATTGACATCTCATCAAACATAAGGATATACTCATTGTCTGAGGGAGTCTGTTGCTTTATTGTTTTTTTCAAAACATTAAAAATTTGGTCATTAATACCAACTTTCATGTGAAACTTGCTTAATAACGCTTTTAATGAACTAGGTGTTGGCAGGCAAATCATCCTTCTTAATAATTTGTAACACCTAGGTGACCTTTTATACAGTCTTAGTGCTATTATTTTGGAGTCCATGTTCCATCTTCGACCTTATGATTTTTTTTTATAGTTTTGCCATTCTTCTTGCAAAAATAATGCAAAAGAGGGGGATATTTTACATTTTAATATTTTATTTACGGAATCATTTTTGCTCAATACTTTGAGAAATGCTTCATTCTTTAGATGCTTTACAGTTTTTTGAAGCCTGTTAATTTTTCTCAGATGATATTTCATTTTTATCAACATATCTTTATCCTTTTTGTTTTTCGTGGATGGATTTGCAGCAGCAACAGGGTTGATATTCTCAGTTACTTGAGGAATATCATTAGTTATGTCAGGAATGGTTTTATAATTTACATTCTCACACAAGGGTTGTATAAATTTTGAGGGACCTGCAACAGGCTCAAATACATTTGAAACAGTTATAGTCTTCTGAATATTTTCAGACAGTGGTTGTTTATTAGTTGATGGACCTGCAATATGTTGAATGACATTCCTTTGTTCCAAATTAAGGTCAGCTAATGTGATCTGAAAATTAGATATTATCAAATCATTATTTATATCATGTATCCCTGCATTGGTCAACCAATCTCTAAATTTCAAACAGGCTTATAAATTTATAAACATTAAATACAACTTGTTTTTTTTAATGAATGTTGCTTTAACACCATTACCACCACCATCCTATTTTTAAGACACTATTTTAACAATTTCTTTTATTTGTAAATATATTCTGTAAGTAACTAAATTATAATCATGTCATTTAAACAACATTGACAGCTCGCGGAGCAGTGGCTAGCATTGAGTTGCGGCACTAAAGGTCACAGGTTCGAATGCTACACAGAATAAGTATTTGTAAGGGGGTCAATTTAAAATTGGTTGCAGATAAAGTCGTCCCTGAGCATAAATATTTTCTTCTCGGTGATATTAATTAAATTGTTATAATGTTATTGAATTTGTCAAATATGGGGCGAATTACTAAGCTTATTCTCAAGAAAAATGAATTTTATTATTGATTTATCACCACTTTTATCAAGTAACAGAGTGGTCATTCTTGGTAACATAGTTGTTTTCCATACAAAAAAATTCTGTCCCATATGCAGTGCATCATGCGAAAATCATAATATCTTTTTATCAATTCAATGTAATTGTTATGTTTGAAAGCTAGTGTAATAAAGCAATCATAACACATTTAAAAACATACTTCATCCATATTAAATAAATTAATTGAAGCTTGTACGATTATTTTAAATTTTGTCCCAAGGTCTTCAAAATATTAGAGCTACATTCTGTTACTATAGTAAACCGGATAAATACTAAGAGATGGCGCTATCCATTCTTTGGCAATTGTTTCATCATAAATATCTACTGTTCTATCCGTACGGTTTGCGGCGGTTGAGGCGCGGGTACACGATTCATTTATCCGATGGCTGCGGTGTGAGGCTCGTGGTTTTATTCTGTATGTACTCTGTTACCGGTGTTTTCGCGTAAGTATTCAGATATTTGCGTATAGTTTTATATTATTGAAGTAGCTCTAGTGTAAGATATATCGAATGTGCTTTTCTTTGTACATAATAATATTTCATTTCTAAAAAAAATGTCACTAAAGTTAAATTTACCATTCTGTTACTGCACAACTATGTTACTAGCTACTGGTAACAGAGTTGTAGAGAGGTAACAGAGTTGTTATTACTAAGCTGTTACAAGCCATCGTTGGCGTCTGTATATCCGTATCTCTGCTTCTATGTTAGTAGGAATCAATATTATATAATAGCTATCTAATAAATTACATAATTTGTTCTAGATAATACATAGTACTTCGCTATGGCTCTCACCGCTGCTGAAAAGCAGCGGCGCTATAAAGAAAAGTGCAAATAAAACCCTGAAGAGGTAGCGGAAACTAAGAAGAAGGATTTAGAGAGATATCATAAAAAGAAACGCTTAATAAAAGACATGACTCAACTCAGTATAGAAACTACAGATCTTGTATAGATGGATTGACAGAAGAAAAAATAGCGCTACAAGTAGATTTCAGCGAAAATTACAATTGCAAGTTCCATGAAGTGATACAATCACACCACTTTCGTGATACTCGTAACCAGGTATCCTTACATACTGGCGTATTGTATAAGCGAAGCTTGGAAAATCGAAACATAGAGGTGAAGTCTTTTTGTACAGTATCAGGTAACCTCTCTCACGGCCCTTCGGTAAACTGGAGTCACCTTCATCCTATACTTTCCTCAATTCAAGACCAATCCCCTAAGATAAAAGTGATACACATATTTTCAGATGACCCGCTACTCAGTACCGCCAGAATCAAAACTTCTGCTTAATATGGACAAAACATTTCTCAAAGTACAACCTCACCAAGCCTACATGGAATTTTTTCGAGTCGGGACACGGCAAAGGAGCAGCTGTTGGTGTTGGTGGCTTTCTAAAACGGACTGCTGACCAGCTTGTTGCTGTTGGGAAAGACATTCTGATAGCGTCTTCGTTCTATCAGTCTCTGAAAGATAGTAGTAGAGTTAAGGTCAATCTTGAACTGATTATGATATTGAAAGATACGCGAATGAAATTCCAGCAGAAATTGTTCCTTTCTATGGTATAATGAAAGTACATCAAGTGTACTACTAGTGTATTACAGAAGAAGTGGGAGCGCTGAAATATCGAGAGTTGAGCTGTTTCTGCTAGCTTGGTTTCTCCTCATGAATGAATCCAAAAAACTATTGTCCACTAAAGGATACAGTCGAAGAATCAAAGGAGTAATTCTACTAATCTAGCGGATATAAGTAATTTGATTGAACAGAAAAGGAAATCTTATTGCAATGTAATTTACAGTTCGAGTTCGGAATCAGATGGTGATAATCCTTTGCTACGATTAAAAGATAAGGCATCAGATCAACCCTGCTTGTCTAAAGAAAAAAATGATGAGAATCACTTGATTCATAAAGAAAATATTCATCCAAGTAAAATCAAAGAAGGAGTCTAGGTCTTAGTTAAAGTTTACAATTCTGAAAGTAAGTGTTTATCTAGGCAAAGCATTAAGCGAAGTAGACGATGATGGTGAAGTAAAAATTGTCTTTTTAAATTCTGTTGACGATACTAGAAAAACATACAAATTAGTTTAAAATGATATATCATATGAACAATATGAGAGTTTCATAAGAGTTGTTTCAGTACCTAAAAAGTAAATAAAGGCAAAAGGGTATATTACCAGTTCCATACTCCACTAGAGATATTTGAAAAATAAGTTATCAGCTTAGGTTTAATTTGATCTCAATAAGATTTTTTAGCTTTTTACCCTTAAGTTTTATAATCTAATTAAGTTTCTAAAGTTCTTAAAACAATTCATAGCCAAAAATATTGTATTTTGTGATAGTAGTTCATAAATTTGTTGCGAATAGTACAACTATGTTATTGTTCCTACAACTTTGTTACTTTTGTGTCCCTAAATATATAAGAGTAATGTCTCGAATTTTATGAAAAGCTGACACCTGACTCTATGCATTGTTTATTAATTATTTAATATTCTCATTTATACACAACATCATCATTATATTTTAATAATTTAATTCAATTTACATAGTTTATAGTGAAAATTTGATCATTAAAACAAAGGAAGTAACAGAGTATATTTAACTTCCATTACTGTTCCTACTTAAGAAGAACTATTGTGTAATTTTGCATGTTGAACATGACAGTAAAGACTTAATTAATGTTCATAACAAAGAATGTTTCTAAAAATAATTGTTTGTTGTTTAAATATGAATATTATATGATGGTAACAGAGTTGTAATTTTTTTTTACCCTGCACTAGTAAATTCCTTGAAAATCTAAAAATAGTGGCAAGACATCGCACCCAACCAGGATATTGCATTTAACAATGATATCTACATAGCATAAATACCTATACAACTAAGTTAAACAGAATTTTATTTTCTTTTGTTTTCGAAATTTACAGTCACATTTTCTGCCACCGATTTTAAATTGACCCAAGGCCTATAAATAATTGTGCCGGGGGTTGTTTGTCCTCATCCAATTTATGTTTGTAAACTGCCTCCACAAAGAGGAGAAAATCCTAGTATGGATAAGGTTTTTTTTTTTTAAATAAAAGATAACTTTTTTTAAAAGTTTATATCTTTTGTTTTTTTATGGTTGAGAAGTAATGGTAGGTTACGTCGCATACCCTTATAAATCACCACTCAATCTGCTACCACCGTTTGTTAACTAGATAATATTTTCACTGTAGTATGAGAAAAGCCACACAAAAGTAAAAAATGTAGATAGTAACAAAAGAAAGATTAACTAACCTTATCACATTCCTCATCAGGTACTGCAGATTTGACTAGCCTCTTTCCAAAATTATCAATGAATGATGATTTCTTAAAATGTTTAGTGCACAACATTAAATGCCTAGAATGAAGATTGTTTTGAAATTCTGGTGACCACCAAGATTCATGAGGAAAACAGTACTTCGCCCATAATTCACATCTGAAAAAATACAATTAGATAGTAATATACTACTGAGGTGCTAAAAACGTGCTTGGAAGAAGAGTGCAATACAAGAAGATTGTTCCTTTCAAACAATGTGATTGTATTGTATACATATATAAATATTATTCCACAAGTTATTTCTATGTGTACCAATACATCTAGAACTTTTTATTATATTATGATTTCTATGTGATAAACCTCATGCTGTTCTGCATAATTTCTCTAATTTTCAGATTTATTTGCACACGTTTTTAAATCGCTTAATATGTATCTTAGGTTTTATTAGCCGATGCGGCCCATAATAATTTTTATTTCTGCTACTTTATTAATTCAGTGGTTCAAATTTAAACATTTTAAAACTGTTTTAATCAGTAATCAAAAAGCTATTTAGCATACGTACCGTACGCTATTTGTTCTCCCAGGCTTAGGAAAACGATGCAAGGTGATGTTACGATCATGAGCAGGAGAACATCCACACTTGTAACATTTCCTTTCGTTTTCTTTCATGATGAAAGATAAAATTGAGTCTCTGTCTCTTTAGCACAATGCACAGCACTTGTTTTTGAGTCTCTTTCTCACTGTAAACACTAAAACGGAGGAACGGGATGTTCAACTCAACGTTATTACTAACGTAAGAAATAAGTTTATATCGAAATATAAACTTAATTTGCAACACAAATAAACAAGAACGCAACAGCAAGCGCAAAGGATCTGCCATTTGTAATTTTGTTTATTTGCTGTTGCCATAACTTGCCTTTTTATTATAGTATTCAGTTTCATATTTATACATTTTGTTACTTCAATAAAGACGTAATAAATATATGTTTAACGAAATATATTATATAATAAAGTATTATAATTATTAAATAAAAAAATGATTAAAATGATGTGTCATTTAAAATAATATTTCTTTCATGGCAATATAACATAACGTGCGAGGGAGATAGATATTATTCCATCTCGCTTCTTTAAAGCCCCCCAAGGTCATCTCCCGGTGCCAATCTGCTATTAGGAAGTTGACCGGCCCTGTTTATGGATTAAGTGATAAATTTCCGTTTGGTTGCGTTGATTTATTTCCACCCAATCTTTGTTTTTTCTTTGCATTACTTGCAATTTTTTACTACAATGAAGGATTAACATCTCCTATTGATATGAAAAATTTTTCCTTAGATTATTGATAAGTCATCGCGCGCTCTGACTAGATACCGCGCTACCTGAAAGTAACAGCTCCGTGAATGCAGCAACTCAATATTGTAGTGTGTATAGAAAATTTGCAAGGATGCTAGTGTGCGTGAAAAATTGCATATATCAGCAGCTTAACTATTACCCGATTAACGGGAAAATTTATTTTATGCTATGGCTTAGTAGTTAAGTTCATAGTTGTGAATGTGTTCCAGAAATACTTAAAAATGAATAATTTATTAATAACGAATGTATCAATATATTTGTGCATATTATATATAGGTTTTTCTTCTGAATAAATGACATATAAATGATAAGGCCTCATTTTTAACAGTTTAATTTTTTTATTTACATGTCTAACTAATATTCACAAATTACTTAAAATAGTTATATATATGGTGTAATCAAAATAGTGCTTTCGATTTCTATTCTACGCGTCAATATGAACAACTTCTACTATAGATCTATCTTCGTAATTAAAGGTAAGAAAAATTAGGTCTTCCATACATTTTGAACAAGTTTGTACGAAATTTTGTATGGAATAACTGGCTTTTAGATTTTCTTTATAGGATCAGGTTGACAAACGAGCACACAGTCCACCTTATGGTAAGTGGTTGCTGTGGGCGATAGACATTTACGTCTATAATAATAATAACTATACAAATACCCCATAATAATAATAATTTATTTGATACAGACAACACAGATCCATTACAAAATTAAAATTAAATTTTTTTTAAACTATACCTTAAATTTTAATTATAATTATTGGTTAATCAATGACATTATTACATTTATTAATAACATTTTAATAAATTTGACCATCTACTAAAAATTTCACTACATGCATATATATTACAAATAATCCTATATATATATATATCTATCCTCGATTAAGAATCAAAATGCAGATGCGTAGCAACCCCTGAGGACTAAGACGGAATGCCTCGTTTCCCGTAAAAAGGGTCTCCGGTTCTCTACACTCACCATACGAAACACAGCAGCGTTAAGCTGCTATTTTACACTGCTATTCTGTGAGAGCGTGGTCCTTCCCCGGTCGAGCTGACCCATTCGTGCTACAACTATACCATTAATATAGCTGCAGTATGGCTCAGTAAAAATTATTCATGTTGACGGGCAGAGTCGTTCCCTAAATTATCGTAAATACAAAGAGGAGGTGTTGTAACTAGATTTCACTATCTAAAAACGCGTGACAATTTGCGGGGTAAGGGGATGTTAAAGCCCGCCCACTTTCCACTATCTACATCTACCGATAAATAGTAAAACTACTGGAATCGTTCCATATCGATGTTGCCATGTAGTTTAGCTACCTTGACGATAGATGGCGGCCTGTTCACAAAATGATTATAAACTATAATAATAATATTTTGTCGATTAAAATTTTTTATGTCTGAATGCAAAACAATTTTCAGCACCTTCGTATGATTATTTTACCAATACTGAGCTCAAGGTACCTTTATATTTTTAGTTCACATGACACAATGTGTCGCCACCTTGGGTCGAATATATTTAATTATATGTGAAAGCCGACGCAAACAGATTTTTCTAGAACTATTTTAATAAATTAGGTGTAAAATTACTTACAAATGAAATATGATGCCATCCATAGAATCAGAGCGTCTATCTGAGTAGTTTTTACACGATAAAACACAACACTTCATCCTTTTCTTCTTAATACTACGAAAATATTCCGATTTGCGATTTTCAACACATAAACGCACAGGACAAATGCTGACAGTATACTAACTAAAGCCACGCCCTCTATGATAACGTCAGGACCTACTTAGAATCACAATGCACAGCTGCTTATGCCGTCTCCTCTTCGTATTTGCTTCATGTTATCGAGTAATATTTTGTTACACCTTTAGTTAGTATATAAAATCGAGGAAAAGGTTCCTTCGTATTTTGTATAAAAATTGAAAACGTTTTTGTTTTAAAGTTTTATTACATTTAATTTTAATATATAAGTCCATTCTGTTCGATAACTTGTTGCCATCTTGTATGTAGTGACTTGTGGGTAGTAATCGCGTTGCTGTAGAACTCTTGGGATTTTTGATTAAAAGAAATGCGACAAGTAGTGTTATTTGATATATTCAATACCATAGATTTGAAGGAACATGGATTTAGTCATTCTATTTATAATGGAAAAAAATAATAATATTCTTAATTATTTAGAACACGCAAAACAATATATTATAAACTTAAAAAAATATTAAACCCTCCAGAAAGCTTCCTTTTAAAGAACACAAAAGAAAATAAATAAAGAAAATAATGATTAAAAGTTTTAAACCAGTTATAAGTACTCAAGCTAATACTGGATTTTTAGGAATGTTAGTGTGTATTGAATTATTGATAGTCTCAAGCAGATAGCTAATCTTGTGATCTGGCGTTATCATGATGAAAGACCACTCCTTTTCTGATTATCAATGCCAGCCGTTTTCTTTTTCTATTTCTTGTTTGTCGCATTATTTGTTGGTAGTAGAGATCCAAATCGATGGTTTTACCCGGCGGTAAAATCTCATGATAAACGATACCCTTTCAATCCCACCATACACACACAATTATTTTATTGCGTTTTAATCCAGGTTTCGCTACAGTCTGTAAACAAGCAACAAAAACTTTGCTCCGACCGCATGGAAAGTTTCCACGAGCTTATCATTTATATCGTCCACTGCATTGCAATCTTCTAGGCACTGAAAACGGTTTCGTATCTCGAGCTGAAAGGTTTCGGGACTTTGGATTAGAGCACGAGGGGGACGGAGCGTTGACTTCATTAGACGTGACCGCTTCAACTTAACGTTTAGGTTCAGTGTGCCTCTCACCATTCGGTGATCGCTGCCGGTTTTCACCCTCGATCACTGAGACATCACTGAACAGTTGTGATCTGGTCGTCATAATGAAGTCAATCTCATTTTCTTTTGAACCATCGGGGCTCGAACAGGTCCACTTCCTGTGCGGCCGCTTCTGGAAGAAAGAGTTTATCATAAAGAGTCCCTCATTCTCCATGAAGTCGGCCAGCTGCTGGCCCCTTGAGTTCCGTTGCCCTATTCCGAGTTTCCCTACGTTTTGCTCATCGTTCTCTCTTGTGTCTAATTTTGCATTACCGCAGGGCAGCATACTTGGTCTTACGTTATTCACTGTCTATATCAATGATATACATGACCTACCCATGAAAAACGCCGAAACTATACGTTACGCCGATGACACTGCTATCGTATTTCATGGCTCAACGTAGAACGATGCTTTGTACAGTACTGAAAGAGGTCTAAAACAGGTCTTTAGTTGGCTACAAAATAATCTCTTGACCCTAAATACCAAGAAGACTGTGTACCTATGCTTTCATAAGACAGCAGTCACTGCGCAAGTACAACAAACAGTGGTTAAGATTCATGAGCCTTCTTGCACAAGCAAACCGTGTACCTGTGAGACCTTGAGTAGATCCGATGTAATTAAATATCTTGGTGTCCTCGTTGATGATAAACTGACATTTGAAAATCATATAATAGCTCTTTCGGCTCGAGTCAGGAAGGTTTTTGGTGTTTTAAAGCATCCGCGGGACATAACAGGCTTAAATACTCAAGATCTGTGTATTTTGCTTTATGCCAGTCTCTTATAACTTACTGTATTACTTGCTGGGGAAGTGCAGCAAAAACTTTCCTGATCAGAGATGAGAGAGCGCAACGTTCAGTTATAAAAGTAATGTTAAAAAAGCCGTATAGATATTCAACTTTTGATTTATATAAGGACAGTGGACTATTAAATGTAAGACAACTTTTCATACTGAAGACCTCCCTAACTGTTCATAAGTGTACTCTGGCATCTCCAGAGTATAAGACATTGTTGAAACAAAGAGTATTCCGCTTGCCAACTCCCGCTATTAACTCTGCTTTTTCTAATCGTTTTGGGCAATTCGTAGAACTCAAGTGTACTCGTACAATTCCGTCCTTAAGTATTGCGATATAAAAGAAAAGTCAGTGGTGGAAGCTAAAAGAACCATAACAAAATGGTTACTTACTCTGAGCTACGATAGTACAGAAAACCTAATTAAACCGTAATCTTTATCATAAATTTACGTAAATAAAATATATGAATACAGTATATAATATCCATATGTATCTATAGGAGTTTCTAATTTATATATGTTTTATTAATTATTGTAATATTTATGATATAACAGTACTTTCTTTACTAACAATTAATTGTTTTACCTCTAATTATTTGTTTTTATACATATTAACTTTTATTTTATTTTATATTTTATTTTATTTAAAAAGCCGGCGGGATGAGTCGCTCGCGTCCGTAGGCTTCGACCACCTAACCCTAGGACCACCCTGTCCCCCGGGTGGTGCTAAACGAGCGACAAGACAGAGACGATAGACTCGGCTCCTCGCCGTTGGTAGCGGAGTAAAATCTACCACCCCTTAGGTCGCACCATGAGCCAACATTTAAAAGAAATGGCCCCGAGTTCCCGGCGCCCTTTTAAT